AAGTTTCGAAACCTGTCAACGACTGAACGGGCCGTAATGCCGAACGAAAACGATAATATTTTTTGTACTTTTTCCTTCGATTCATCGAAGCTCCCTCAATTTAATTTGCCACCACCACCGCGAAAATATTTTGTACCACGATTTTTCGATCGGTAAACTTTCGCTCTATTTATTCGAATTCCGATAAATTTTCGTTTCGAATTTTCATTAGGGTAGGAAAGGATCGCCCTCACAAAGAACTAATTTAGCGTAGATTCAGAAATGCCTAGTTTCCAACATATTTTTGTAAAATTTTTTTTTTACTATATGTCACACATTTCTTGCCGGATTTTATTAAAAATCGTCCACGTAATTTAAAGGCCTTTAACTTAATGAAAATTGGAAAGCCCAGTGCCATCCCGACAGGTATCTCAACAAGCCACTAAAAGTAAAACTTTTTGACTCTTGAGTTCTTGTCGTATCTTGCTTCGTTTTCAAGCGAAAACATAAAAATCATGAAAATTGAAAAATTTTATTCGAACTTATTTTTATGTTTTTGGTCTATAGTTGTAGCTATCGAAAAAATGTGCTAATACAATAGGACAAAAGCCCACACACAGTGTGGGCACGTTGAGAGCACATGTCTATGAATAATATATTTGTGAAATGGAGCTAGCAATACGCCGACCAAGTGTGGCCCACTCTCTGCTACCAAAGTATTTCAAGTATTTCGCTAACAAATTGCAAACAGAATGTTTTCTTCAAACGTAAAAATATGCATAACATTTAAAATTATTTTAACGTAGATAATAAGATTATTTGACTCAAAAATTGTGCGGATTTTGCTTAAAATGTTTTTGCAAATAAATTACGGAAATAAAATTTTAGTAAATAATTGACTAATTATAATAATACAATTTACAAATCTATTTTACAAATTTACAAATAATTTTAATTGTTTTCTTGAATATGTATTTCGTATAGTAATATAAGAAATTCGAATAACATTTTTTGGACTGTTTGATATACAATAAACTTAAACTTAAAATGATAATAATAACCATCATCGGCGTAATTGCCCAAGCTGTTTTTTACATTTAACACCCCGATCTTGGAAATTAAGCTTTTCCAGACCTACGTTTATATAAACTTTTTTGTGAAATCTTGTGCCGCATCGAGACTGCCGGCCCAGTGTTCGACATAGTGGGCCCGTACTTTCCTCTACTTACGGCAACTTAAACCAAAGAGTGCTTTATATATTTAAGTTTTCCTGAGTGGAAGTGGACGTCTTCAATCTATTCAATGTGTCTAAAACTACAATATCTGCAAAGAGCATTTTCTCTCAAAGCCCTAATGGCACTTCGTTGTTTTTTTTTTCTTTTTCCTCTTTTGTCCCGAACAGAATGGAATGATATGATTACTTTCGCCTTTTTATTCAAAAAGCCATACAAAGAAAAGAGCTTGTTTTCCTGTGTGGTAGTCTGGTTTCTACCATAATGGCGCATTTATCAACCTCAAACCTCCACTGGCTAAGTTCTTTCGCAAATTTATTGAGTTTAATTGTTGAGTTTGATTGAAAATGTCAATAAAATAAATTATGTTATTTTAATATAAGGAAAATGATTGTAGTATCAGCCTCTGGCGAAATAGCTAGTGACAAGTCACATTCATTCCACCAATAAATACGTTCCGGCGAACTCTCGTAAAAGCAGATAAAACATCGGGGATCAGGTTTTGATTGGTTTGTTTGTTTGGGTAAAAAGTAATTCTCGAAACTGCTTTACACCCTTCTTAAAATTACGTAACTAAGATAAGAGAAAACGACATGTCTTGACGTGAGATGAGTCAAGTACGTCTGTACTTCTGGTGCCCCACAAGAGACAGTTTTAGGCCCGGCTTTATTTATTATATACTTAATTACCTAAAACCATTTCGAAAATTGAACTGGCTTTTACTTGATGAAAATCCATTTATCAAAATAAATACGAACTAAAAGTTCAGATTTTCACGAAATTATATATTATGACATGACAATTGTTTCGACAACACCATGTCTTTATCAAATGTAATATTTACAAACTACCTGTTACTATTATATATACCGAAAAATGACCATAAAACCTTAATTAATGTTGTTGCGAGAATTTAAGTTCAATAAAGGAGAGGTTTTTAAATCTAATTCTAATAATTCGTTTGATTTTGAGTAGTTTTTATCAATCATAAAATACGAAATTTTGAGCAATTTTTGAGAAAAATGAACTTTTTCATTTTGTGCGGAAAAACAGGTCTTTGGAAAAATAGATCAATGGAGCTGGTTAATATTTAATGCTTTGACCTATCTATGGCGAAAATTCATTAAATGACCATCAAAAAATGCTTTTTCTAATTGAAAAAACTCATTTTTTTAAAATGGAGCACCCTGTATTTAACGCTTTTATTGAGTTTGGGATTTCATTTATATAATTGATTAGTTCTTTGTAGAAAATCATTATTTTTTGTCATTTGCTAATATTTAGTTGTCCAAATAAATAAAATAAATAAATAGCGGCGTAGTCTCTTAGCGGACGCGTCCCGGCCCTAATTTGCGGGAGATATGATAAATTAATAGCGAACTCCTGCAGCCGTGTTATGTTTTCAAACAAAAGCCCCCCCGAAAGCCGACTGTGCCGGCTGTAATTGTTAAAACCGAAAGCCGTCCGGGCAAATTACCCGGATTTTATTCAATTAATTGCGTTGCGGAATCGGGCTTGTAATGCATCATTTCGCTCCGTAACCATATTTGCACGATTAAATTTAAAATTAATGGAAGCGGCAATAGTTAATTGAATGAAAAGCTTTTCCGGGCCGGTTTTGTATCGCTCGGATTTTTTTTTGGCTCGTTTAATAGGCTTTGTTTTTGAAATAATTTATGACGCCTAATGGACGGCTGGTCGGAACAAAGATCACTACTGATTTTGATGCTTAACACGTTGAAGGCTCACTAATACTTCGAAAATGCCAAGCTTCCCGGTTTTTGTCACTTGTGATAACACTAAAAGTCAAATCATTTATAGGTTTTGCCTATTGTTATCCAGTGACCAATACTCAAAATGGTTTGCCAAAAACGCTCCATCCCGTCATAAAAATGCAAAGTACTTTATTTAAACTGAACAAAAATTAAATTATACAGGACGTTTCAAAACCAATGCGAAAAAATTAATTTCATTTGTTAGCATCATTAGGGAGATATGCGATACAAATATTTCCGGAAAAATAACGTTTTTACTTTAAACACGAAAATTTAACAATAAAATATTACGGAAGTACAACCATTATAAAAACAAACTTTCTGTATATTTTTTAATTTCTTAAAATGAGCGGAGACTGAATTAGACTTCCCCAGTTAGTTCGAGTGCAAAATAACATTAATTTAATCATAATTTAATGGTTCAACAATACGAGTTTTAATTCATTTATGCATTTATATACCGGCATGCAAACGGAAATTCCTCGGACGCTTGTCGTCTTACGCATGAATATATCAATTAGTTTCAGACATTTTAATGTTTTATTTGGTACCTGTAAGTTTTACGAAAAAATTACAGCAGAAAAAGCTTTCCAATGAACCCGTCTATCGAAATGTATTTTTTGGTTATTTTTTTCTTTAATTTTAGTTAGGGGTAGTCTAATTCAATATTCTCCGTCCGTTTAAAAAATAAATAAAAAATATGCCGAAAATGTGTTTTTTTTTAATAGTAATGTTTTATTGTTCTATCTATTTTCGTTTTTATTATTATTCTGATATATTTATATAACCCATTATTTTAAACAAGAAAACACTTCTACAAGTTTATCGCATTTGTTTTGAAACACCCTGTATACATAGTATCATTTACATTTACTTTTTATTACAAAAATTAAATTATAAAACATCATAATGTTCTCCGTCTTTTGAGGAACATTGATCAATTTCTTTTAAGCGAAGCCAAAACCGAAACTAAAATGGCGTTTATCACACTTGTTGCATATTATACTCTTTTCACTTTTATATAGATAACAAGAAACATTATTAGCAACCAGCGTCATATTGTCAATGATTTCGGCGCTAAGAAGTAAACATTAAAGACATCATTAATGCGTTTCATAAAATAGAATAGTTGAAGTCTCCTGGACTTCGAATTCGATAGCGTATTCTGGCTCATCCGTCGCTTCTTTCGTTGTCCTCTCTGACGAAACTAATTGACGATAATTGGAGACCACAACTGCCGCAGAGACGGCAGTCAAATCCGATACCCGGCGAAGAAAAGGGCGCGGAAAAAAGAGCAGTGCGCTCGTTCCCCTCGTCGAGAATCAATCTGGCTCGTTATTATTAACGAGGTGGTATATTTGGGAACGCCAAGAGATCTCCCCATCTCCACCAGGTGTCAATTTGTTCTAATGGATGGTGGAGAGGAGTTGCGAAACTCCGCGGCGGCCTCTCTAACGATCTCTCATTAAAACTAACGCCATTATATTTTAAAAGGCACTTCCTAACAGGCCCTGCAGATAAAGTCAGACGCAGACTGTCCGGTCTGTCCTAATTGAACTTACAATGCGATTCGTGGCTTCAATTATTTTTCTTGCAATCTCCGCATGATGGCGGCTAGAGGTCGCTCTCTTTATCGACATATTTATATTAGTATTCCTTACTGAAGAAAGTAATTAAAGCACCCTGAAATGATCACTTCCCCACTACTTACACGAACATATTTAAAGTTGCCTTTTTCAAATATTAACTTACGGATTCGTATATCAAAAGTTTTTGTAGTCTGTGTTTTTTCTTTGCCCCAAGCAGACGGTCAATCGGAACGAAACTATATGTTTACAGGGAGTCCAAGTAAAGCAACGAAGTAATAGTACAAGTAGAAATTTAGATAAAAAAAAGATAAATAAATGAAAAACCAAGTTTTCTTATTCAGATATTATTTTTCTTATGAACTAAATACTTTCGTTAATTTTAACACGTTTTAAACCTTAATTTAATATTTTATACTTTGTTACAGAATGATGAGGAGGTTAAAAACTATCTGCAAAATTTGAACATTCCGGTTAATATGCACAGTACGGAAAATGGAGCAGGTGAGTTTCCACCATCTTTCCAACTGATATGCAGAGTACCGAATCATTTTTAGTTCACTTCCTTTTCCTTTTTCTCACAATGTTTCCTACGAAATTATTTTCAATTCGGTAGACTTAAGATAGACACGAATAGCATGTTATTTGAAACATACAACTGTGCACGGTACTTACCTTTTGTGCACCTTGCGAATTACTTCAAATTTATACATATAGTTCCAGAAGTGTAGTAGTTCAGTTTTGGATACCTGGGGCCCCAGAACAGCAGCTACCGGTGAGTACCCTGTTTCCGTTACCGCCGTTGTATGTTGCGCAATTGTACCTATGAAAATATCTTTTCAGTCATAATGCACAAGGAATAATTAAATTCCAGCAAGCTTACGGTCCTCTTGCGAATCACGAGTTTTCGAATCGCCCTGTGCTAACATAACATAATTTGGTTAGTAGTATAAAAAAGTATAAAATTTAGTAGTATGTTATAACCAATAAAACAGAAAAAATTGTCGCAGTTAATAACCTCGAAAATTTTCAACAGAATCGTCGAAAGAACATGCTCGTAAAGTTAATAAAACTTGAGGATCGTATCTGGAATTTGATTTAGCAATAACTGGCTATCTATACTGGGTGTTGCTTATCACTAAGTAACGATGCCTCAAATTGTATCTTCTAGAATAAAATCTTCGACCATTTTCGTTCACTTTTTTCCCATCGATATCGACTAGAATTAAACTAAGCCACGCGATTAGATCCGTACACCAGACGGAGGCGTTTTGCTCACCAAAGTGCAAAGAATAAAGAACGAGTGAGAATTATTCATTATTCGGTATCGGAAACGAGCAATAATTCCCATAAAATATTCATTGCTTCGCGCTCTACACCGAATAATAAAGAAACACAAACATCATATTGCACTTTACATGTATAGGGTAAAGGGCGGTATCGTTTATATGCATTTATTTTTAGAAGTTTAGTTCATCAATTGATTTTGACTACTGACGTCGACGTGGATGTGCTAAAATAATTGAGCTAGTAACATAAAACTGTCTTAATTTAATTCATTCATTTTCATTTCAAACAGTCTTTATTTATTTACAGTCTACTACATCGTCAAAGCCATATTTACATTATATACAATAAACATATACAACATAATATCGTAAATAAACTATAGATTATATAAGTCTTTTGGTTGACAACGCCCTCCGGGACCATGGCGCGTTTTGGTTACTCGTATCGAGATTCCAATTAATGTTACGACATAATATCAACGATAGCAATGCGGGGAGGGTGTTTTTATTCAATTGAAAGGAAACTAGTCTTAGTAAAAACCTTTTTTAGAAGAATTGATAGTTTTATTACATTCCAAAAATCGTCGAAGATGTTTGCGTATGTACTTAAGTAAGTTGGTGGGGATGGTGCCGAAGTGAAAGGAACAAAAATTTTAGTTTTTTGTGGTTTCGCGCTTTGTATGTTTTTAAGGCTGTTTGTTTGCCTATTGGCTTGAAGTAATTGAGGCGGGATTTGCGTTCGTTATACGTCTTCGTTGAACAATGGAAGATGTTGATAAAGAAGTTTGCTTTCACCTAGATGTCGAACTCGTCAACGTTATTTTGAATAAAGTCTGCCAGTAACATTGCTCGTTCAATTTTATTAGTAACACCTTCGACGGTTCTATAAAGTGCTTTTAAAAAACGGTTTAACTCCCTGAAATTGATTGCACCCTCCCCGCTTAACAGATTGAGCGTTTCTTGAAATTCCGAGATGCCATTGTAGTTGTTGGAGGGGCCTGCTCGTTTCGATTGATCCGCCGCCGGTGCGTGCTGCTGTGGATGACCAACATGGACGGGTGGTTTGGACGACTGTTGTGATCTGCTTTGTTGAGGGTCTCTGGCGTTGGTACGTCTCTCCCAGGCATTTTGCTTGGGGATCGGTGCTTCTTTGAATTCAGCTCTATTGTTGGATACCACTTCTTTCTTCTGGATTTCTTGGAGTTTCTTTTGGTAGATGGGATATTCGGTATTGCATGCCGTGTGGCTTCCACCGCAGTTGGCACAGGTAGCGGGGGTGTCGGGTGTTTTTGTGCATTCCTTTGTGTGGTGTCCCTGGGCGCACTTTACACATTTGGGCGGCCTATAACAGTTGGATGTCCCCAAGCCTGACATCGGCGGCACTGGATGATCTGTCTTTCGTTCTTTCTTCGCTCCCAGGATACTTTTGTGTGCGAAATATACTTAACTTTATTTTCAAGTTCCTTTAGAATAATGCTGGATGGACAAATGACGAGATAAAGTTGGGCCTTGCTGCGTGCTAGGTCCTTGCGCATTTTATATATATTTTTTACCTCAATTTCATATTCGTCCATAAGTTCTTCTTTGATTATATCGATATTTAAATCTAGCAGTTCCCTAAGAATAAACCCATGGGTTTTTTGGTAGCCGCCGTATAAGTGTGGAAGGATAAGAATTCTTCTTTTTTGCGAATACTGTCTTAATTTAATTAATAATAATTGTTGTTGCAATCGGATATTATTTGATATTACCATATTATTGTAGGTACTTTCGTCGCCTTTCGTCTCGTCAGCCTGAGAAATTGTAAGGACTTCAAAAATCTGAACGTAATAAAAATTTTATATTATTTCTATGTGAGATCGGATTTGGAATATTGCAACTTGAAATTAAAAGAACTCAAAAAGAAGTTGTAAAATAAGTACTAAAATGAGTACTTGTGGAACCTTTTCGTCTTCTAAGGGTTGATGGACACACAAAGGTGTTTACAGCAATATTACTTGTTAGTATGTTGTGAACTCTGTTTATAGATTATATTGATTTTTCTAATAAAATTCGAATGTTTCGTAAAAATTTGAACCTTTTTTTTTATTTGATTAAATCGCAATTTTTATTCCTAGTGAAAACAGTTTGGATTTTTTATTGTTTATAGTGAATTTAATATTGATCTTAGATTTTATTCATCTTTGGATTATACTCTTAGGATGTTTGATTTGTAATTTGTGCATTGTACTGTTGATCACTAAACGTACAAATAAAAAATAAGAACATCAACAGCAAAAAACGATTTATGATTCTATTTTTATTTTCTTTCCTAGTGATTAAAATCATATTATCTAATAACTAATATTAATACACACAATATCTACTAATTAGAATGCTTGATAATAATAATAATGAATGGTCGGAGGAGTCAAAAGGTCAAATTATCTTCTTAATTAAACTCACACTCCATTATTAGTATTAAGTACAGTAGTCAACATTTCAATAAATGGTTTCGTACCCTTACAAAAAACATTTTAATGATAAGCTATTGCTACCGGAAAATTAATCCCATAATTGAAATTATTAATAATTCATTAATCGACTTAAAGTCCCACTCTAATATTCGTTATTTATGAATTTTTGGAAGGCTGTTAGGAATTTGTCTTAGCATCCATATTATTACAAAACTATTTCTCAACATACATTATTATCCACATACTGCATGAACTCTTAATTGAGTAGGAATTATCTGTGAGAACTTTGGCTGACTAATCTGAACAATTAATGCTAATGGCGCTAATTTGTATATATTCTCATATGGATTAAGAATCCTAAAAGAAACGTACTTAATTGAAGCAATTGTTTTTTAGTTAGCTATAGCAACTGTCTTTTTAGGTTATGTTTTACCTTGAAGTCAAATATCCTTTTGAGGAGCTACAGTAATCATAATTTTAATTTCCGCTATCGGTTATTTAGGAACCTCCATTATTTGAATTTAATGTATATTTGCTGTTGATAATTAACTCGATTTCTTACTTTCCATTTTATTTTACCATTTATTATTCGAATAATTATTATTCACTTAGTTTTGTTCGATCAATCCGGACAATTAAATTCCTTAGCCTCAAATAGAAACTTAGATAAAATCTCCTCTGTTTCGTCCATATTATACATTTAAGGACTTACTTACGTTTATTTATTATATTATAATCCAAATTTTAACAGTTGGTTACATATTTCTTTCTTAGTACTTTATATGTAATGTACAGTAAATGAACTTGAATATATTATTATTCTTTCAAAATATCATAAAGAAATAAAAGTTTTAATTTAAGGTATAGAGCAATTTTAAATAATATATTTTCTTAAATATGCAGGAATCAAAATGAAAAAAGTCGAAGTAATCACAAGTACAGTGGACGTGGTTTCAGTAGCTGCAAGCCTTGCAAAAAACGGAGAATTATTTTTTTTTAATTATTTATTCATCAAAACTTCAAGCATGCATTGTAACAAATCAAATATGTTTTTCTTAATATATTCTTTGACACATTTTCACAATGTTTCTATATATTTACCCAATAATCAGAACTGAATTGAGCCCTAATATTGCTGTGGTCTTTAGAACTGTCATGTCTTTTTTGCATACTTGGATGCTCTAAAACGTAACCAGGGAAAACAATATAGAGCATTTTTTTATTACATCCACAAATCCATATATTATTTGAGTAAATGTCTAAATTTCCGTGTATAACTTTTTCTTATACTTACACCAGCTTTTTCAATGGTAATATCTGGTAACCTTTTGCTTTTAATTCTAACATTTCTTCATATGAGAATTTAAAAAATCTCTTCACATTAATTAAATTAAAGACAACCTCCATAAACTATTTAATTATATGTATTTTCTCTGAGTTCTTAATTTCTTGGGAGCTCTGCACCAGCCGCAGGTTTACTACACTCGTATGACTTTCATTACATAAAAGACATCATTTGGCTTGTTCTAAATCATAATCAGTAATCACCGATATCTGTCTTTGGCATTTACCGAAACTAACCAAAGTTAACCAACACTAACTACAAAATTGCGAATATAAATTTCAACTCATTTACATTTACATGTCTACGAAAAACGTACCCTCCTAAAAATAAGGGAGCCAAGTTCACTGGCAGGTGAGGCTCCTCTTAATACTAAATGTTTTAGGTATTATGGATAATTCCGGTAAAATTTTTAGA